CAACGTCTGAAGTTCATTCAGTCTTCTGTGCTCTTGATTCAGCAGCAGCTTGTGTGTTAGCCTGGAGATGGGGAACCTTCAGGTTGTGTTTTTACCTTCTTCAGCTCCCAGCTCACCAGCCTCCTGCTGATATCACACCTCCTGTCCGTGGTTTGGCTCCATGACTTGCTGCCATGCTGGATGTGACTCTAGTTGAGCCGTCAGACAGAAGCTAAACAGGAGAAACAGCTGTTGGTGTTTGTGTAGAGCATCCATCTTCAGATGAGTCTAGCAGAGAGAGCAGAGGAGAACTCGGCACATTACAGTCCATTTAAAATCAGGGATACACGTTTTCCAAATTTTCTTTAACCGGTCATTGGCTCCCCTTAACGGTTAATAGCCGGTCAACCATTTTGTCTGTAAGTGTTGCAGTTGTTCTGCTAAAGAGCCTCAGGAGGAGGAGAGAAGCAGATTTCCTCTCATCGTCACCCATTATAAACAAAAGGAGATTTTCTGCTTTGACCACTTTCACACAGCTAAAACGGCGAGAAGCAATATCTTCTACAAAATTCAAGTTGGGCACACAAAAATTTATACAAATCACCACCCAAGCCTTCTGCCGCTCGCGCTTTTCGAATATTTCAAACAGGTGCCGTGCTTTTCAAATGGTGATGAGATATTTGAGACCTCCAATCTGACAGATCTAAAGCTTTCCTCGTTAAGATCATTCAAACTGTGAGACGCCACCTGGCCCATCCTGGCTCTCTGATTGGCGGAGAGGGCTCAGGCTTCTTCTGGCTAAACACGAATACACACCCACATTTATATGATGCATCAATTTGACCGGCTTGGCCTCAGGAGTTTTGTATTGACTTTTAAATGCATTCTGCGTTACCATGGAGATGTGATCAGCAACAAAAGTTCGTAAACTTTTCAGAAACACCTGTATCAAGACCAGAAACATTCCATTTTTTAAAGGGTCATCACTATATTGAAGCAGATTTCCATCATCTATTACCATGGCAACAAAAGTGACGTAGTAACACGCCAAAAAAGCCTCGTTGGAATGAATTTATAAAGGTTGAAGAGGAAATTTCTGGTTAAATTATTTTTCAAATTCATGTAAAAGGCTGTCCCAAAAATACTGAAATGCTTATTGTGGATATTTGGTTTGAAAATCCATCACAGCGGAGTTTTCTAGTGAAAAGTGGCCTTTCTCTTGTTTCTGAATGTGAACCTTTGACGTAACCAAAGGGAGTTGAACAGTCAAAGATGAATAATGTTTTGTTGTGTCGGCCTGTTTCATGAGTCAGGGTGACTTGAAAATTCAACTTAAATTGGGAGAAGGTCTTTTGACTACCTTTTGAATTAAATGTATTTTTTTCTTGTTTGCTGTATTAATCATCTCCTCAGAGACACGGTGGACATGAGGAGATAATAAAAGTCAAAATGTCCCCAAAGGACAAGTAGTGGAAGGGTTAGTACTGAAGGGGAGGTAGCTTTCATTAAATCTTAATTCAGCCCACAGCCTCCGCTGTTGTTTCTATTGATATTATTATTATTGTTATTATTATTATTATTATCAATTTAAAAATAAACGTCCAACAAGTTTAGGATTCTTTATGGTTTTAGTGTTTTCAGCAGCAGATCCTGGTTAATGCCTTGTCAAATTTCTTATGAGACCATTGGGTTCAAACTAATTAACAAACCAGGCCCGACATGTTATTTATTGATATTTAGCTTATTTAATTGATAAGAAGAAGGTATCATTGATTTGGTTTTAAAGTTCAATTTTTAAAGGGACATTATGGAAGTTTGACAGCTAAAACATGTATAGAAATAATAAATGTCTTCTTCATACATTCTCCTGCAATGCCCTGGTCCTGTAGAATGAGCCCTGGCATTTTTACTGTGATTGCCTGTTTTTCTGTAAAATCACAGAAAAAGAGAGATGCTCGGGTCGAGCAGGCTGCTTCATGCGCGTTCACGCTCAGGCATCGCCCGTAGCATTTGCTATCCGTAGCTTTAGCAGCAGAGAGAGAGGCAGTGCCACTTTGTCGCTGTTCCTAACGCCTAGTGACAAAGCTAGCTACATTTCTGAGGACCCTTAGCTACTTTCTGTAGAACTTTCTTCTAGATATTTCCTGCAAATTAGCAACTAAATAGCCATTTTCACTCCGAACCGTTCTTTGGTTTGACGTTGTTTCAGCTGTCATCAAGGATATAAATGTTACAGATGTTACAGAGGTGGTGAAACGGCTCGTTCAGGTGTAAATGAAGCATCGCCCAAGAGACGCATGCTCATTACAAGCTCGTGCCCGACGCGCTCTGCTCGTAACACAGAACCAGCGCTGCTTTTATTCAGACAGTCACTCACATAACTCGTCGTCAGTTCTCTTCCATTTCTCATTAAAACCACAGTTTAACGTTCCGTTCATCCTTTGACTCCTTTTGAGAATCATTTTTGTTTTCTGCCATCTGCTGAAAAGCAGGAACGTAAAGCTGCGTTGCTAATGTTGCTGTTCAGTTCTTCTTTTAATGAAAATAGCAGACTATTGGCAACACGGGCACGTTGCTGCCCCCGTCAGGTCAGCTGTGTAAACAACGCTGCTTTATCTTTATATTTGAGACCCGCCACTTCAGGAATTTACCCCCATTTGGCCGGTGGTGGGTGCTAATTTCCACCCCTGGTGTGAAACCAAATTCTGGTCCCGTAAGGGACCGAAACAGTGTCGGTGCAGGATCGGCTCGGGTGCAGGATCGGCTCGGGGTCCATCGACTGCCGATGATGTCACATTACTACAAATCTACTCGGCTTTCACACACACGTTTTGGAAAGACATCAGCAGTTTAGTTAATAAATTCTTGTTTGTTAACACCTAAATGTTTTCTTTATAATTGTAATTTGTTACAATTATATTATCTTTGTTTTGTAAAGAATGTGAAACTGCATAAAACCAACATCAGACTGACAAAAACTAGAACGGTTCTTATATGTGAAGCCATATCTGGTTGTATTCATGTGGAGTTCGTCTGTATATTTCCTTAGTTGTTATCTAAATACATTATTTAACTTAAAATGTTGCTTGGTGTCTTTCAATAAAGTTCTTATATTTTATTTTGCCCCATTTCATCAACATCAAGAGCTTTTGAGGGCCACCGTTTATCATTTGCTTATATTTTACATTTCCTTTAGAAATTCAAACATATTTTCTCCAAAATGTGTTGATTTTTGGACTACAGGACTACAACCGCTAAGACTACGACCGCAAATTTGTTCTGACCAATCAAAATCATAACGTGATAACTAGGGATGGGTACCGAATTCGGTACTTTTTAAGGTACCGACCGAATTCCATAGTACCGACCGAGCACCGATTCACGTCATTTCAAACGGTGCCTCGTTTCGGTACCCGTCCTTCATAACGAGAACTTGCCAAGACAGCTGCGCATGCGCAAGAGCGTTATGTCGTCGGTCCCTGACTCCTGCAAGCGAGTTGTAAACAGAGCAGCATGGTAGAAAGAACGCACGCTAAAGCTTGGGTCCACGTCACTAAATGTGATGGGTAACTGGGTGATGATGAAACCAGCGACAACGATCTAAGTGAGACATCCTCATCTTAATCTGCTCCGGTAGGTAAATAAAATGTTTAAGATAACGTTAGCTTGATATGTTAGCTTCCGTTTCGCTAATGGTGCGTTCGCTTTCTCCTCGGAACTCCGAATTTCCGACTAGAAGAACATGAACGCGCTCTAAAGTTTGGCTTCTCTTTACTAAATGCGACAGGTGATTGGGTGAAGACGAAACCAGCGACAACGATTTAAGTGTGAGGCATCATCGTTTTAATCTGCTCCAGCAGTTAAATAAACTGTTTAAGATAACGTTAGCTTGATATGTTAGCTTCCATTGCCACCATTGTTATCAGCTAATGGTGCGTTCGCTTTCACCTCGGAAATTCTAACTTCCCAGTAGGAAAAATCAAATGAAAAAAGACTGCAAAAGGAATGTAGATACACAGTAAATTTAGTTCACAGTAAAGATGTTTGCTTCAGTTTAATTATCAGCTTATAAAACTACAAGGACCATGTTAAAATACAAACAGTTGTATGTTATTTATCGTGATATTAATCAAATATGGTTATATATTGAGAAAAATATATATTTAATTATAACAGAGAATTAAAATAATAAACATTCAAAAGTATCGAAAATTGGTACCGTTAAGTACTGGTATCGACTCGTAGGTACCGGGAATTGGTACCGAATCGATTCAAATGTCAAAGGTACCCATCCCTAGTGATAACGTCACTTCCGTAAGCTTCATGTTCAGTCAATCAACTACTTTGACGTCATCGGCAGTCGAAGGACCCCGAGCCGATCCTGTACCGACACCGACGCTAATGTGTAAGCGCCATAAGTCACTTACCATTGTTAGATGAATTGGACACACTTGTTTCCTTTAAATCTGGTGAGAGGTGGTCTCTCCCTTTGCTCCTTACGTATTAAAGCATCTCTGTGGGACGGAGGGTCTGAAACTCTAAGCATGTGGATGGATTCTCTTGTGTTTGTTGTGGTTGCAACATTTGCTTTTTAATGCTTCTTGGATATGCTGAATTTATTTTATAATAAAACAACATGATCATGTCAAAAGAATGTCTGACGGTGCAGTAATATTAATAATATTTTTCAAGGCACGCAAAGCACTTTTCTATTATTCACGAACTCTCACATTCACACACTGCTCGTGATGGGCAGCCACTGCTTCCCCGGGGCAGCCTGTCAGAAGCGAGGCTACCATCGACCCCTCTGACCACCACCAACATAGACAAGTCAAGTTAAAAGTCTTACCCAAGAACACAACAGCAGAATTCCCGAGAAGGAGCTGGGACTGATCTGGCAACCGTCCGATTACTGGACAACCTGCCCAATCTCCTGAACTACTGTAGCCCTTGCTAGTTTTAAACAAATTTTGGTCCAGATGAACTTCTGCAACCAGATGTTTTTTCTTTCTTTCTTTCAGTTCAGACATTCAAAATGCTGCTGACGTTCCAGTGTGCTGAACAGAACAATTTGTCCTGACCCGGCAACCTACGAATGGCCCAGGGAAACCATCAAATTGACGTTCAGGTTTTGCATTACCTGTGCCAGAAGTTCCCTGAAGTCCCAGAAGGTGTTGTCTCCCAGTGCGTTCTGCAGGTAAAATGGTCCAACATCGTTGACGGCAGAAAACAAATGTCTACACAATCAAATCAATAAAACCTAATATTTTTTCACTTGGTTATGTTCTGTCCATCACACAGCCCCATAAAGGTCAATAGGTCCTTTCAAACTGCACTTCCAGACATAATAATCTAGATATAGAATCTAGAACATCTGAAGATCTTAGAGTTGCACCACACTTGTAGAAAGAAAACGCTTTCTAAACCATGCCCATACCTGTGATTTTAAGTACTTATAAGTAGGTTCAATTGGAATGTTTACCTTGTAATGTGCTTTGAGATGACGCTTTATGAGATTTGGCACTAAATAACTAGACTGAATAGAATTAAACTAGTAAAAAGTCTGGATTAGAATGATAAATGGTAGGATGCACGCTTTCCAAAATTTGTTTAACCAGTTAATGAAGCCCCTAACGGTTAATACTCTGTTAACCGTAAACTCCCCCTCCATCCCACCCCCCACACACACAAAAACCTTTTCCCCACTCTAAAAGTATTACAAACGTATTTTTATCTACTCTTTTTAACATAATTCTGACATATAGCATAAGTCCAACATTAGGCGTATTTGAACTATGTAGTTCTAAGAACTGTGTTCCTAAACCCCCTTCAGACAGGCCATGAAAAACGGAAATGTTCAGGACTGTCCATAAGACCTTCGTGTCTGAATACAAACATCCGGATAACGTTTTCCGTAATTAACCGGACGACGCCCCTAGTAACAGGTCCAGACTTGTCACGGACAAGGTGGCTGCTTCAGACTGGTGAGGTCGAGTTCCGGACATGGAGGAGGGGGAGGAGGAGGGGACCGGGGAACGCTGTGCACACCTAGATTACGTATGTATCACGTGACCGGGAATGTATATCACGTGATGTCCCTCCTGAGCACAAAAACCCAGTAGAAAGAAGGCGAACATCTTCTGCAGAGCATCTCCAACATGTCTAACAACTGGACAGATTCCGAGATTCGCGACCTACCCACGATGAGGGGGAGACATGATAGTTATGAAGAGCATCCAAGGTACAGCGCGAGACTCTGTCACCTACGACCGCCTCATACCAAAGTTGCGTGAACTCTGAACACACCGAAGCAAACAGCAGGCCATATCGAAGCTTAAGTCATTAAAGCGTCGATACCACGAGGAATGTGACCGCAACAGGAAAAGTGGCAATGACAGGATGGAATGGAGCTACTTCGAGTTGTGTGAAGCTATATGGGGTGCTCAAAAAACCACAAACCCTGCAGTGGTGTGTGGAAGCATGGCTGCGACTTCCAACCGACCAGAGGACTTCTCTGAGGCCAGCTGCAGCTCCCTTGAGAGGGCCCAAGAAGACACAATGGACGGTAGCGAGAACCACAGGCCCCAAGTCGCGTCGGGCAGGTAAATATTCACGTTAGCAAGCAGATGCTGTTGTAAGACTGGGTGTGCAGATGTACAGTTTGTAGCTATAAAAACATTAATTGCTGACAACTAAGGCCTAAACAGCAGGCAAAACAAGAGGAAGAGAGACAAGTACCCACACAGAGTGGAGTGAGGCTTTAGAACGGATGGACGAGGGAAGCCATCAGCGTGACCGGGAATTGATGCAGGAGCAGAGGGAGTTTGAAGGGTATTATCTGCGGGAAAACTTGGCATTGAGGCGGCAAGTAGCAGTTGCATTCCAAGATGTGACCTCTTTGATGCGTGAACTTGTGAGCAGGTTCACTCGGCCGCAGCACGAATGGATGCCGGGCCCAAACTACCACCATTTGTAGTCCATCGCCAAGCAATCACAATGTCCGGCATAATGTGAACTTCAGTGGATATGCTGCATCCCCGATCAGATGAACCGGTACCTCTACACCATTGATGTCTCTGGACATCTAGAAGGACAGAAAACAAAGATTAGAGAGGTGTGTGTGTGGGGGGGGGGGGGGGGGGGGGAATTTATAGGTTGAGGCATACCACACGGGGGAACAGGTAGCCATTTTGTTGTTCGGCTTAGCTGAAGATGGTAGAGTTGCGGAGTACTCTGGCGTCATGTGTTCGACCAGGCCAACCAACATGAACATCTGTGAAACTGAACAAAGCATTTCGTTAGTGCTGCAACATAACAGCCCCAAACAACAGAGGGACGCATAAAATGTATATTTGCTCTTGACAGCAACATAAAAATTCATGCTCTCACAAAACCAGTCTTACCAGAAACAACTAATCTTTCGTTACCTAACAGTAGCTTTGAAAGTAACACTGTCAAATACTTTTTAAGTATCTGTTGCGTCCCTCAGCTCTCTAGGAGTGATGTGGAAGAGGGAGTAAGAGATGTTGTGTGTGGGTTTAATAATAACAGAGTAATTGTGTCGCCAAACAAAGGAAGGATTTTATTACAACAAACACAAAAGGGCCTAAACATAAAGGAGATGAGCCCAACAAAAAGCGCCAAGCCAAAAGGGCTGGGAGGAGGAAACTAACTGAAATATTCACTATATAACCAAAACACTAAACTAACGAGAGCCGTCCTGTTAAGCAGAGACGCTTGAGGGAAATCCAAAATTCAATTCAATTCAAGTTTATTTATAAAGCTCCAAATTAGGGCTGAAACGATTCCTCGAGTACCTCGAATAATTCGAGTACAAAAAATCCTCGAGGATTCATTTAATTCATATTTAATTAATTCGTGGCTTTGCAAACGCACAGGCTCATGTTTCACCCGGACCGAAATAAGTGATGCACATGCCCACTGGACTGCGAGTAGCAAATGTAACTTAACTTTCTCTTAAGCCATGGCGGACATCGTGGACCCCGGTGGAGTGCGAAAAAGACAGAAAATGTCAAAGTTGTGGGACCATTTTTCACGTCGTAAGGTGGAAAACGTAGTCCAGTGTAAATACTGTAAAATGGATTTAGCCTACCACAACACCACGTCCTCCGTGCTGCAGCACCTGTAAATGTCACTTCTGCAAGCGGACTCGGAGCCTCTACAAGATAATGCATTTTAGCCTGTATTGCTATATATTCTGCGGACACTGTGCAACTTTTTCATTTGTAGCACTCAGTTTCAGCTCACACCGTACGTCTGGTAGCAACACGTCGGGCTTGAAATGTGCTAAAAATAGCAGTTTTTACACAATATGTCGGACTTTTTATTGTGTTGTTATTGATGTCCGTTGTCCCTCAGGATTGCTGCAGGAGGACACCGGTATTTATGAGGAAAACGAAAGAAAGTAAATAAATGTTTTGTGATCAGTATAATTTGACAAAACCACAGCAAACATGCTTTCTCGACAATCCTTGTTATTGTGTTGAGGAAAAAAAAGTGTAGAAGTTAAAACGAACGTGTGTTAATAGGGAAACAGCCGGCGAGCTGTTTGCGCCGTGAGCGGTTCTGGTTCTGTTTGGGCCGCAGCCTGCTCGCAGCGCTACTTCAACAGTTATCCTCCTAGTTTTTGTCTGGCTTGCAGGCTAGCAGATTCTCGCACGAGGGGAAAATCGGCTCAGGTTGTTTACTTATTTTTTGCACACGCATTTGTTTACTGTGAAGTAAAGTTGAAGTGCTGAAGTTTTGCAAACTTAATTTTGAATAAAACTTGAAGAATAACTGGCAATTGCTTGCTCATTTTGAGAGGTCTTTCATAATTATAACATGCTATTTGATATAATGGTTTACAAATACAAAAGGGTAATTTATTAGAGTACTCGATTAATCGAAAAAAAGATTCGATAGAGTACTCGATTACAAAAATATTCGATAGCTGCAGCCCTACTCCAAATCACGACAAGAGTCGTCTCAAGGCACTTCCCATAATAAACATTCCAATTCAGGTCAGTTCATTAAGCCAATCAGAAATAATGTTTCCTATAGAAGGAACCCAGCAAACTGCATCAACAAGTCACTGACTAGTGTCAGTGACTATACAGCAATCCTCATACTAAGCAAGCATAAAGCGACAGTGGAGAGGAAAACTCCCTTTAAACAGGAAGAAACCTCCAGAGAATCCTGGCTCAGTATAAGCAGCCATCCTCCACGACTCACTGGGGATGGAGAAGACAGAGCACAGACACACACACACACACACACACACACACACACACACACGGACAAGTGATGTGTCTATAGTTATATTGTGATGTCTTAGTAAATATTCTATTTGGTGAGAGATAAACTTTATTGTATTTATTCTAGTGAATCTATAATTAAACGGGTAAACTAGTAGTAGCACATCCAACGTCAAAGAGAGTAAAGTGTTATTATGAGGAGAGGGAGAATGTTTTAGTGGTTAGCAGCAGTGTGCTAGGCGATGGCCCCCTCCATGAGGCCGCCACAGCTCAGTCGAACATCGTTGTAGCTTCTTCTGGGGAGAAAAACACTTAAGCCCTTTTCAGACAGACATTCTGGAACATTCGCGGACAATTCAATCCGGTTTTTAACCGGAACTGTGTTTTCAGACACACCACTTTTGTACCGGAACTTGTCCTTTCGGCTGCGTTCACACAGCAGGGAAAAGTTCCAGATGTCTGACGGCGGCGGGGGGGTGGTGGGGGGAGAGAGAATCGGACTCATGTTAAGAAGAAGAAGAAGAAGAAGAAAATATAATTTCTATAGCGCCTCTCAAGATAAAAATCACGAGGCGCTTAAGCATAATTCTGCGCACACGAAGACGCATAAGAGACCTGGATGATGAAGCTCAATGGTTAAAGGAATCACTGAAGCGGTGTGAAGCGCTCCGTCGCGCGTCTAGGCGGTACCGTAGGAGGCGAGCTGCCGTGGTTCGCCGCATGCTACAGGAGCGAGCTATCTAGGTGCGCACAGCGTCCCCCGGTCCCCTCCTCCTCCCCCTTCCCCTTGTCCGGAACTCTACCTCACCAGTAAGAAGCAGCCACCCTGTCCGTAACAAGTCCGGACCTGTTACTAGGGGCTTTGTCCGGATAAATTCCGGAACACGTTATCCGGATGTTTGTATTCAGACAGAAAGGTCTTACGGACAGATTCCGGAACATTTCCGTTTTTCATGGCCTGTCTGAAGGGGGCTATAGAGACAAAATAAAGTTAACAGCTGAAATAGCAGGAAATAATACAGTTAAAGAGCAGACTGTAGAAGAAAGCAGTAGAGTGTGGAAAGTGGTCAGTGTGTCCTCCAGCAGTCTAAGCCTATAGCAGCATAACTACAGAGATAACTCTGGATAATCTATCCTATTTAGATGGAGGCATGTTGGAGTCAGGGCAAGGGAGAGCCGTCTTTACCGACTGTACACGCCACCTCCCTCTACTCCCCCACTTGTCCAGATTTAGGCTAACATCAGATTTTAACCATAGGCCCTATCAAATAAAAATGTTTTAAGCCTATTCTTAAAAGTAGACAAGGTGTCTGCCCCACGATTAAAGCTGGGAGTTGGTTCCACCAGTGAGGAGCCTGATAACTAAAAGATCTGCCTCCCATCCTAATTTTAGATATTCTGGGAACCACCAGTAAACCTGCAGTCTGAGAGTGAAGTGCTCGGTTAGGAACATATGGAACAATCAGATCACTGATGTATGATGGAGCTTGATTATTAAGAGCTTTGTATGTGAGAAGAAGGATCTTAAAATCTATTCTGAATTTAACAGGTAGCCAATGTAGGGAAGCTAAGACAGGAGAGATATGATCTCTCTTTTTAATTCTCATCAGAACTCTAGCTGCAGCATTTTGGACAAGCTGAAGACTTTTAACTACATTCTGTGGACTTCCTGAGAGTAATGAATTACAGTAATCCAGTCTTGATGTAATAAATGCATGAACTAGTTTTTCAGCATCACTCCTGGAAAGGATGCTTCTAATCTTAGCAATATTCCGAAGGTGGGAAAAGAAAATCCTACAAACTTGTGAAACCTGGGATTTGAATGACATGTCCTGGTCAAAGATAACACCAAGGTTCCTTACTTTGTTCTTGGAGATTAATGTAATGCCATTCAGGTCAGGTGATTGGCTAAGCAATTTCCTTTTCTGGATTTCTGGTCCAAAGATGAGAACTTCCTTCTTGTCTTAAGATAAGATAAGATAACCTTTATTAGTCCCACAATTGGGAAATTTGTTTCGTTTACAGCCAAGTAAAAGTAAGGTAAAAGTTATGCAGCAAAGGGAGAAAACACTAAGATACAATAAGTTCAATCGTCTTGATTTAAAAGCAAAAAGTTTAGAGTCATCCAATTTTTTATGTCCTCAAGACAAGCCTGTAATCTACCCAACCGATTAGGTTCGTCAGGGTCAATGGATAAATATAACTGAGTATCGTCAGCATAACAGTGGAAGTTTATCCCATTTCCAGTCGGGAGTCGAAGGCCAGTCCAACGTCACGGTTACCAGAAATCTTAACGAACGAGAGATTATCACTACCAAAGGACCACGAAGCTAAACGCACAAGCACATGAGGAGAAGAGAGAAGCCTGAACACCTTTGTGCCCACACTTCTCAAAAACTTTGGGCAGGAGAGCAGCCTTTAACAGCTGCCCATGATTGCCCAATTACACACAGCTGAGACAGGCGAGGCAGAAGCCACCGAGGCCATCTTGTGGCCGAAAAAGGGCAGAGCACGTAACATATCTGTGGAAACAAGTTTAACATCTTAGTCCTCATCCTGTTTAAAAAAAGTGCCTCAGATTTCTTACAAAGGAAAATGTGTTCTCTCATTTATCAATAACTTCAAATAAACACATGAGTAATCCTGAGTACTCACTTATCAACTTAGAAAATAAATATTAGAATATCTCATATTTCTGAGTATGGAAAAAATTACATTCTAGTTCCCTCTTATCAGCAGATTCAAAATAAATCATCCCAATTTATGGGACCACAAAAGTAAACGGAGGACTAACTCTCCTAACAAAGACCAAAAAAACATACAGAAGTGCATCTCAAACCTGAAACGTGCCAAACATTTGAGTTCCTGGAATCGATTCTGAACCTTTATAAATAAGAATCCCGATTCAGACTTGAATCGATTTTTTTTCAGCACCTCTACTAAATAGGTGGGTCTTGAGCCTGGACTTAAAAACATGAACGTTCTCTGTGACCCTGAGGTCCTCCGGCAGCTCGTTCCAGAGGCGAGGGCCGTAACACTGGAAGGACGCCTCGCCGTGAGTGTGTGTCCTGACTTTAGGGATGACCAGGAGACGCCTGCCAGAGGAGCACAGAGGCCGTGAGAGTTTATATGGTAAAAGCAGTTCTGAGAGATAAGAAGGCCCAAGACCATTAAGACACTTAAAAACCATTAGAAGAACCTTAAAATGTGACCTGAAACATACGGGGATTCTAAAACTGGTGTCATGTGCTCCCGCCTCCTGGTCTTCATCAGGACACGTGCCGCCGAATTTTGTAGAAGTTGTTAACCTGAGATGCTCTTTTTGGGAAGACCAGAAAGGGCATTGCAGTAATCTATCCTACTGGTGATAAAAGCACGCATCAACGTCTCCGTATTGGCCCGAGAGAGAATGGGGCGGACTCTGGCGATGTTCTTTAGATGATAAAAACCTATTTTTGTGATGTTTTTAATGTGTGAGATAAAAGTCAGCTCAGAGTCAGAAATCACACCCAGGTTCTTCACTTGTTCAGATGGATTAAAAGACAGAGATTGTAATTTCGGTAAAAGCTTCTCTCTCTGGGCCTCAGGACCAACGAATAAAACTTCAGTTTTGTCCTGATTGAGCTGGAGAAAGTTCTCTGCCATCCAGGATTCGATGTCTAAAATTATCCCAATAAAAGTCAGAAAGTTTGATAACGATAAATTCTCGATTTATTGCCCAGCCCTATTCTCCAGTAAAGATCACGTGGTCAAAAACGGGTTGGTCTGTAGGCGCTTTCGGACTGTAGTTCCTAGAACGTTTTCAGGAACCACAAAAAAACCACAGCAACTTGGTTACTGAGCACCTTCATTCTTCTTTCTGTCTTGCAGAACAACAACAATTTAGATGCATGCTGTGAACACTTGTCCCAGGTCAGTCCAGGCTACCATCACAGTGAAGAAGGCAATCTGAGCTTTTCAGAAGATCTCGGCTCCCCCAGGCTACGTAATCACATGACCCAGCTGAACCTGGGCTTCCAGTCGCAGAATGTGCATGTGGCTCCTGTTCAGGACAACCTTAGGATGAACGGCAGCCGAACTCTAGCCCACAGCATGAGTGACGGGCCCCTCCAGACAGGCCAGGCCCCAAACAGTGACTTCTTTCAGCATGAGCCCCAGTCAGCTCCCGTTCAGGTTCCCTCTACTCACAACGTGTTTGGTGTTATGGAGCCCACACAGAAGCCGCAGCCTCCACAGCACCTTGGACTTTACCCCCTGGCAGTAAAAGGATCAGCCATGGGTCCGCAGCATACTCCACGCTTCAACCCCATCACCGTCACACTTGCTCCTAATCCTCAGACAGGCCGCAACACACCCACGTCTTTGCACATACACGGCGGGCCACAGTCCGGCCTCAGCAGTCCACAGGGTAACTCCATCTACATCCGCCCTTATGTTAGCCAGTCTAGTACAACCCGGCAGAGCCAGCAGCAGGGAGGCAGGGCTCAGTACAGCCCCACCTCTCAACCCCAGCAACAGTTCTACCAAATCTCACAGCTGTCTCACGTCTACATGCCCATCAGTTCCCCCACAAACCCCCAGGTACCCTGCATCCCTTCAAATGCAGGTCCGGCATTCTCTTCTGGTGCCTCCTCGTGCTGTCCTTCGTCTTCCTCCTCCTCTGTCATGCCCACCTCCCTGTCTACAATTAGCCAGTACAACATCCAGAACATCTCCACTGGGCCTCGTAAAAATCAGATTGAGATTAAACTCGAATCTCCTCAGAGGAATAATTCCACCACAGCTGTGCTGCGGACAAACAGTGGACCTCGATCGTCCTCCGCCGCTTCTGTCTGTCCCTCCTCTTCCTCCTCTTCAACCAGCGTGGCTACTGTCCCCACCACCTCTCTGTCCATCGGCGGTCCGAGGTGCAGCCAGCCCACAGTTTTCATCTCTGCGGGCTCACCTACAGCTGCTTCTGCTCCCTGTGAGGAGGCTGCTGTGGTCTCTGCTGGCTCCCGGTCCCAGCCCAAGTTTTATATTTCTGCTAATTCCTCCAATGATGATGGTGGGGCAAGAAACCCTCCGACAGTCTACATATCGGCAAACCCTCCCTTACAGGGGCCCTCAGGGGCCAGAAACATGAGCATGGGCCCTGCCTACATTCACCATCACCCACCTAAGTCCAGAGCCTTGGCGGGAGGTGCGAATGCGGCCTCTTCACCTCGTGTGGTGGTGACTCAGCCCAACACCAAGTACACATTTAAAATCACAGTGTCACCTAACAAACCACCAGCCGTGTCTCCTGGAGTCGTGTCCCCAACCTTTGAGCCCAACAACCTTCTCAGCCTCCCGTCTGACCACCATTTTGTGGAGCCAGAGCCGCTTCACCTCTCAGACCCGCTGTCCCCCCACAGGGACAGGCCAAGTGAGCCTCGTAGACTCAGCATGGGCTCTGATGATGCAGCTTATACTCAAGGTGAGCCATTCTGACTTACTCTCTGGAACACAGGAGTCCAGTGAAGCCTGCGTTAATGTCTGCTTGCTTAATGATGGCAAAGGACACCATAGCATGAGTCTGTGTTTACCCCCATCAGCTGTTGTGAGTCAAACCTGTAGGAGCACGCTGCTGGCTCCTTATTTGGGCTTTTGTCTGCATTTGGTGTGACTCACCAGCCAAGGCTTCTAGTGCATGATGCTTACCAACCAGAGGGGTTCAGCGCCATGCTTGGCCCCGCTGCTTCTGTCTCCTTGCCACTGTGTGTTGTAGCTTGAAAGCTAAGTATGTTTTAGCCGTCAGTGTTGGCTTGGGTGAGTCTTGAGCTACCTGGTGTTATTTAGGAGTGGCGGTTTTTAATGAGTCAGATCTCACTGCCTGTCAATTCTGTTGAAATGTGGGAAACAGGCTGCAGCGATTGTAGTGGCTACGTGCGCTTTGGTGTGCTAACTAGGGATGCTCCAATCCAATCACGTCATTTTGAAAGTATCAGGAGAAATAAAGGTTTTTAACCTTTTAAAACAACAACGTGAGTTTTTAAATCATCTTGAGAAAGACATTTTCAAATAGAATAAAAATGGCTTACTTTTAATTTCAATAAGTTCCTCTACATCAATAAAACACCTTAACGTTAGACAATTTATGGCAGGCGGGAACTCGGACACCAGGGTGCAGCTGTTGGCAAGCAGGAGTCGGTGTCTGTACAAATGGTAAATGGTAAATGGTCTGTATTTGATATAGCGCCTTCTAGAGTCCTGGAACCCCCCAAGGCGCTTTACAACACAGTCATTCACCCATTCACACACTGGTGGGGATGAGCTACGATGTAGCCACAGCTGCCCTGGGGCGCACTGACAGAGGCGAGGCTGCCGAGCACTGGCGCCACCGGTCCCTCCGACCACCACCAGCAGGCAATGTGGGTTAAGTGTCTTGCCCAAGGACACAACGACAGCGACAGACTGAGCGGGGCTCGAACCTGCGACCTTCCGATTGCGATTGTGCCACCGTCGCCCCAAGATCTGCTCGGGTGCAAAATTGGCTCGGGGTCCGACTGCCGATGACGTCTAAGTAGTTGATTGGCTGAACATGAACCTTACGGAATTACGTAATCACGTTACGTTGGTCCAGGTAAATCTTTCTGTTGGAAAGATGGACAACGTTTACAAAGAAATCCATGATTACCTCTTTGAAAATACACTTTTAGCATAGAGCTGCATGTATATTAGGGCTTAACGATTAATTTCATGTGCAATTAAATTGCGATGTGGCAAAAGGAGCTTTTCTAATCGCAATTTGGCAGCAAGTGGTTAGCGCGATGCTAATATACATGGAAAAACCCATAGGAATGCTAATGCTAATATCACCAATTACATTATTACAAATGATGAATTAGAAACGTGCCAAATGATTACATTTGGAGTCTAATAGAAAGTAAAACTACCATCAATCAAATAAGTACAGACAGGTATTTTAGTAAAGCCAGAAAACTTTTAACTCCAGAGTTTTGGCTAGCAGCTATGAGCGTAACTGAACTACGCATGGACAAGACGTCAAAAACTCTAAACACAAAATACTTCAATAAACGGGACACACTTCTTTCCTGCAAATACAATTTCACAGGTGTTGCTAATACCTATGATCCTTCAAGGGATGTGCTCAAAGAGGAGTTCAACATTATGAATACAATATAGTGTTTTATTTTACAAATACCATTATAAACACAAACTTACGTCATAACAAACATTATTTTAATAACAAAACTGCTAAATTCTTTTCAACAGTATAGATGTGTAGTGTATTTTGTCCGAGTGGGTTTGCCGTACTTTGACGTCATCGGCAGTCGAAGGACCCCGAGCCGATCTTGCACCCGAGCAGATCCTGTACCGACAGCCTGTACCAGGTCTGTTCGGGGTCCAGCGCCTGCTGATGACGTCACATCACGGCCAATCCACTCGGCTTTCACACATAACTTTTGGAAAGACAAAAGCAGTTTTGTTAATAAATCCTTGTTTGTTGCACCTAAATGCTTTCTTTATAATTGTCATTTGTTAATAAAACATCAAATTATCTTTGTTGTGGAAAGAATGTGAAACCACATAAAACCAGCGTCAGACTTCCAAAAGACACAGCAGTTCTTAAATGTGAAGCCATTTCTGCATTAATGTGGAATTCGTCTGTATATTTCCTTAGTTATGTAAATTCATTCATTCAAAATGTTGCTTGGTGTCTTTCAATACAGTTCTTAAATTTTATTTTGCCCAATTTATCAAAATCAAGAGTTTTTGAGTTTATCAGTTGATATCTTTGCTTTTATTTTACATTTCCTTTATAAATTCAAACATTTTCTCCAGTAAGTGTTGATTTTTGGACTACAGGACTACAACCACTAAGCCTACAACCGTAAATTCGTTCTGACCACTGAAAATCATCATAACGTAACTTGTGTAAATCGGGTTCAGCCGATCATCTAGTGTGGCGTAATTTGCAGACGCAGAACCCCGAGCCTATCTGGTACCGGCACCGGCTAACACAGAGCTAACGTGTCTCCACAGGAGAGCTAACATGTCTTCAGCTTGGTGGTATTTTAAACCGGACAGCCAAGGCAGAGCGACAGACACTTGTAATGTGTGCACACCAAGTATTCAACATGCTGGAAAGTACAGCTCCATGATACGCTGCCTTCGTTGGCTTTTTCCTTTGGGCGTCAAAGCGAATCACGCGTCTCCATTAATCCCCAGTTTGCCTCTAACAGTCACAGTGAAGTCAGACATAAACGCGGAGCCAGCCGACAGAGAAAGTTACGCTAATAAACAACGAGAAATTGCCGACAGACTGAAAACATTGGAGCTTCTAGTTCTGCTGCAGCACCGGAGCTGCGTGCTGGAGCTGCAGGTGTTGTGCAGAGAAAAGTTACCTGCCTGCTTCGTCACAGGAACATGCATCGCTGATTACGGCTGCATGTTGAGGGAGTAAACAACTTGAAATAAGAGCTGCTGCTTTTAAATATATTTAAAACATAAACGTGTTTAATCTGTGCAGTTCCTGTGAAGTGAACGATAACCTAAGGATCATTTGGATGCTTTGCTGTTGCCTTGCAGCGAGAAGGTCCTGGGTTCAATTCCCGGCCTGGGATCTTTCTGCATGGAGTTAGCATGTTCTCCCTGTGCATGCGTGGGTTCTCTCCGGGTTCTCCGGCTTCCTCCCACAGTCCAAAAACATGACTGTTAGGTTGACTGGTCTGTCTAAATTGTCCTGAGGCGTGTGTGTGTGTAACCATTTGTCCTGTGTGTCTCTGTGTTGCCCTGCGATGGACTGGCACTCTGTCCAGGGTGTACCCCGCCTAATTGCCCGTTGACCGCTGGAGATGGGCACCAGCCGCCGCCGCCGCCCCCCCGCCCCCCCCCCCCCCCCCCCCCCCCCCCGCAGGTTTAGAAAATGGATGGATTATTTTAATTCTTTCTTGAAAAATGTCAGGTTGGGAGTCGGTTTCAGCAGATACACAGAAAGAAATGACTTGGAATCCGATTGGGAGCAAAAAAAAATGATCGGAACATGCCTGACGCTAACTAACTATTTAACAGGTTGAGTCGAGTTTTCTTTAAGAACAGGACTGGTCTAACTGGTGGAGACAGAAGGTTCAGCTAGTATTGACTAACAGCCTGGTACCCTAACAGCTTGGTACCCTAACAGCCTGGTACCCTAACAGCCTGGTACCCTAACAGCTTGGTACCCTAACAGCTTGGTACCCTAACAGCCTGGTACCCTAACAGCTTGGTACCCTAACAGCCTGGTACCCTAACAGCCTGGTACCCTAACAGCTTGGTACCCTAACAGCCTGGTACCCTAACAGCCTGGTACCCTAACAGCTTGGTACCCTAACAGCTTGGTACCCTAACAGCCTGGTACCCTAACAGCTTGGTACCCTAACAGCCTGGTACCCTAACAGCTTGGTACCCTAACAGCTTGGTACCCTAACAGCTTGGTACCCTAACAGCTTGGTACCCTAACAGCCTGGTACCCTAACAGCCTGGTACCCTAACAGCTTGGTACCCTAACAGCCTGGTACCCTAACAGCCTGGTACCCTAACAGCTTGGTACCCTAACAGCTTGGTACCCTAACAGCTTGGTACCCTATCAGCCTGGCACCCTATCAGCCTGGCACCCTAACAGCCTGGCACCCTAACAGCCTGGCACCCTAACAGCCTGGTACCCTAGCAGCCTGGTACCCTAGCAGCCTGGTACCCTAGCAGCCTGGTACCCTAACAGCTTGGTACCCTAACAACTTGGCACCCTAACAGCCTGGTACCCTAACAGCTTGGTACCCTAACTGCGTGGTACCCTAACAGCTTGGTACCCTAACAACTTGGCACCCTAACAGCCTGGTACCCTAACAACCTGGTACCCTAGCAGCCTGGTACCCTAACAGCTTGGTACCCTAACAACCTGGTACCCTAACAACCTGGTACCCTAACAGCCTGGTACCCTAACAACCTGGTACCCTAACAACCTGGTACCCTAGCAGCCTGGTACCCTAGCAGCCTGGTACCCTAGCAGCCTGGTACCCTAACAGCTTGGTACCCTAACAGCCTGGTACCCTAACAACCTGGTACCCTAGCAGCCTGGTACCCTAACAGCTTGGTACCCTGGCAGCCTGGTACCCTAACAGCCTGGTACCCTAGCAGCCTGGTACCCTAACAGCTTGGTACCCTGGCAGCCTGGTACCCTAACAGCCTGGTACCCTAACAGCCTGGTACCCTGGCAGCCTGGTACCCTAACAGCCTGGTACCCTAACAGCCTGGTACCCTAGCAGCCTGGTACCCTAACAGAGCAGAGCCCTGGGTCAGGGTTTAGGGTGTGTAGTTATTTAAACAGCCAGGAGAATGTGGCTGCTGTGGTTTTAAACTCTTTCTGGGTTGAAGCGTGTTTACATTGATCCAGTAGAATTGTTGCTCCCAGTCATGTGACTTGTTCTTTCAGCCCTGCTGGTTCATCAGAAAGCTCGAATGGAGCGACTCTGGCACGAGCTGGAAATGAAGAAGAAGAAGTTGGAGAAACTAAAAGAGGAGGTGAACGAAATGGAGAACGACCTGACCAGGAGACGCTTGGAGAGATTGAATTCAGCCTCCCATATTCCTTCGGTAACGTCCCTCGGTTTTGTCCTGTTGCTGATGTTGGCTTCTCTGCACACACGGTGATCCTGGTGTAGGGTTCATAGAACACATTTGGTGACGCTACACTGGGTATTGAAGCAGTGTGGACTTGTCTCTACTGGGAACCACAAACAGCTTTATTCAGAGGAAACGGGGCTGCAGGTGTAAGGCATGGATGTGGTGGTTCTGAGGAACCACATACCGCTTCCGTTACTGAGCCCAGAACCCTTGGGTTTACCGGTACGAGCTGCTGGGACCAGAATGTTTCAACTTCCTCCTCTTCCTTTTCAGATTGATGAAATGAAGCATTTAAGAAGCAAGAACCGAGCTCTCCAGATCGACATAGACTGTCTCAGCAAAGAGATCGATCTCCTCCAGACTAACGGTGTGTGTGTGCGTGTGTGTGTGTGTGTGTGTGTGTGTGTGTGTGTGTGTGTGTGTGTGTGTGTGTGTGTGTGTTTTAATGATAAAAGTGTTTTGGGGGTTCCTGCTGACCAGTGTGTGCCTCTAAATCCTGGATCGCTGTGGTTCTGGTCATGTTTGGTCTCGGTTCTGGTTTGTGGGACCGGTCCCCTCTCCTAAGCGACTCTGGTGCTGTTTCTGTGCAGGACCTCACCTGAACCCCAGTGTGATCCATAACTTCTATGACAACCTTGGCTTCCTTGGTCCGGTCCCGCCCAAACCCAAAGGTGCTTCATCCGTTGGTCTGATGCCCTCTCTCCAGGCGTCAGCTGCTGTTTTGCTTTAGCGTGAAGTTCTCAGTATCTCCTACCTTGACCTCCCTTTTCTCCTCCTGCTCCTCCCAGACTCCAGCAGTAAGGCTGTGAAGCCCAGTGCAGACCAGGAGGAGGATGAGGGCGTCCAGTGGAGCTGCACCGCCTGCACTTTCCTCAACCACCCCGCCCTGAACCGCTGTGAACAGTGCGAGTTCCCGCGGCACATCTGAGCCTCGCGGGCCTGCCTGCCGGAGGTGGCGGTGGAACGTTGTCTCCTCGTCTCTGTCTGTTTGCTGTCTGCTGAATGGTGTTTACAGCTTCAGGTTGTTCTTAGGAGTTGGATGATACCTCACCCGAGAGACTCGGAATGCCTCCCACTTTTCTGCTCAACAGGTGACCTTTGACCCCCGAGGGTACGCTGCTGCTCTCCTACAGTATTACCCCATGGCCAGGCCGTGGCTTGACCTGGGAGGGACTAGAACGTGTGTTTGCTGTTAACCTAAACACGCCGCCCCACCGTGTCCCTGTGGGGGCGTCGTGAGACTGAACGGAGTCGCGTGCGTTTTACGCCGTCGTGGAGGCAGACGCTCCCTGAGCTCTTCGCTGTACATAATCTGAGAACATTGTCTTCCTCTCTATGAATCATTTGTATTTCCTGTAAGCATAGATCTATAGATGTTGATAACTCCGTTCCTCTAGGTGACGATCTCGTTCTCAGCTCCGTGCGGGATGGCCGAAGCTTTTCAGAATAAGAGCCTCTCGGTCTACGGCTTGTTTATTTGCTTGGTTTCCTGTTACTAGTTTGTTGGTGTGAGGAAGATAACCGAATAGGAAGATAACCGAATGTTCTGGTGCTTTCAGATCCAGCTCATCAGGACGCCGGGGGGGGGGGGGGGGGGGGGGGGGGGGGGGGCAACAACGGGAAGACAATCTGCCGTGCTATCACACAACTGGAATGTCGATGTTTAGGGACAGCTGCAGAGTAGCAGTAGGACCCGGATCATGTCTGTCTGGAGCTCCAACCTGGGTCAGTGTGGACCTCTGCAGGTCCGAGTCAACCAGTCTTTTGTTGTGTAGTTCTCATGTGAGCCCTGTGACTTGTTCACACACACACACACACACACACACACACACACACACACACACCGTCTGCCTTCTGTCACTTGACATCAGTGCCTTTGATTTTTATTGACCACAAGTTAAATCCGAGTGTCGTGAAACCAGACTCTGAGTCTCCTCAAACCCCGTTAAGAATAGGAAACCAGATCCAGGATTGCATTTATTCATCAGTGACAAACATCACGTGGACATTAAAGGTATTTTTGGTTTCAGATGGGAAAACTGTCTTTGTAACAGATAAGTTATTTGTAAAAAAAATAATTAAAAAAATCTATTCAGAATGTTTTGTTTTGGGTGTACTCCTTTCCTCCACTAGGTGGCAGCAGGCACCAGCAGATGACAGTCGGAGGCTAATGAAGACAAACATTCATGAGACTGTTATCCCAGCAGGTGATGAAGAACCAGCTCCACCCATCAGACGGTTTTGGTTCCTGTCCTACAGAACCGCCCTGAGGGGTCCGGGTCGTATTCAGCTTCTGTACCGTCAGCTCCGTCAGAACCTGAGCGCTCAAAGTACAACAAAAACTAGAATTCACTGATTCTTCACACAACTACGGAGAAGTTCTCAGCTCAGGGCGTCGAGGTCCAGCAGCAGAACAGCTGAGTGGAGATCAGTTCAGGGCCAAGCTTCAGTCCAAACTGATGTTTAATGCTTCCATAACCAGACTCAGGTTCTGGAATCAGAACTCCAGTCTGGGTTCTAACTAGGCCCGGTCTGGAAGTGGGAGTTGGTTCTGTGTCTCTGAATGAGGTGACTCAGTTCCATCAAGTCTGAGATGTGGGGGTTTGCATTCAGGACGTGCTCCACCAGGCTCTGAGGGTAGAGCGTGCTCAGCTGGCTCCTCAGGTTGTTCCTCTGCTCTCTGGTCATGCTCCTGGTCCGGTTGCCCAGCCTGGACTCGGAGAAGCTGCCCAGTACCTGCTGGTCCCATGGTGAGCTGTGGACTTGTCTGAGGGACTTTTCTGGGAAAGGAGAAGGTTCCCTGTTCCTTGGAAGCAGATCTCCACATGAGCTCCATGCTGGGTGATGGTGCTGGGCAGACATCCTGACCTTCTGGTGACCACACCTGCACTGTCTGCACGTGTGACAGTCACAGGGCACAGAACTGTTCTGGTGGAGGTAGTAGCCTGGCCCACTGTGAGCAAACCTCACGTAGCTCCCACTGAGTGAGCTGGACGTGAGGTAGCTGCCTAGTCCGCTGCTGTAGGAGGTCAGGGGGACCTCTGTGCTGTAGGCCACATCCTGGATGCAGAGCCTGGACATGGAGCTCTCCGTGGAGCTGAAGGCTTCATCCTGGTCCAAATTAATTTCCTTCCTAAAGGCTAACGGGTTACTGGGAGAGGTTCTTTGGGACAGCTCGTCTGTGCTGGGGGGTGGAGGGGTGGTTGAGGTGTAGGTGTGCTCTAGCTGGAATCTGGAAGGAGACGAGGTCGATGCTCGGTCTCCAGAGAGAGCCCTCAGCTCATCAGCCACCGACAGCCGGGATTGGTTGGCTCTCTCGGGATGGTAGAACTTGCACTTTAATCCATAAGTGCATTTCTTCCCTAAAAGGAACAAAATCACAAAAAGTCATCTTAACGTATGTCTGAGGAGCCACAGAGGGACACTGGACTTTACATCTGGGCCCCCCAGACAGGCGCGGGTGGCTAGCACCACCACCACCCCCACCTGGAAAACCCTGACGGTCCTAACAACAGCCAGATACGTCTTCAGATCTGCTGCAACATAGAAGAACCTTGCTGTCCACAGCAAGAACAGGTGTTAACTTGATACAACCATACGTTATGCCTCTTGGGAGAAGCCTCAAGATGACTGCAGCCTCTGTTTGACCTCTGAGAGAAGGAGGACGACCTGAGGGAACTCACCATATGGACAGAGCTGCAGCTTGTCTGGACTCCATGGCTTCTTCCTCAGAAAGTCTTCGATGGTGGGACCGTTTCTCCCCATAGGATCGTCTGGAGGCATGAACCTTCGTGTTATAGCACAGTTAGAGACCCGGTTAGAACAAATGTGCCACAGGCAGAGGAAGGAGATGGACTCGGAGCAGAACCAGAGAGTTTTTGAAGTTTTACTTGTTGTTAGCAAAGGTGTACATGAGGAGTCTCTCCTCAATGAACTTCTTCCATTGGGGGTTCTCCGCCTGCAGGTCCCGGTAGTAGTCATTGGACACAATGATCCCATCTGAATCAACCGCCAGCTTGATGATGTAGCGGTCATCATAACACACCACCCGCTTCCCCCTCACAAAGCGAGACGGAGTGTAGACAAGAATCTTCTTGCTTTCCAGATCATCCAGAACATGTTTATCTAGAAGACACAAAGGGACTTGGTGTTGACATGTTTTGTGACTAGTCTCCCGCACTGGATATGGCTGAACCACATCCAGATCGGTCCTGCAGGGGCAGGGGTCGTAGTGCGGGTCGTTTATCTGGGCCAGAGGCCTCCGCAAGTCGTAACACCCATTCACACGCTGGTAGTGACGTCGTAGCCTCAGCTGCCCTGGGACAAAGTGACAGAAGTGCTGCACACCGGCACCACTGGTTCCACTGATCATCACCAGCAGGCAAGAAGGGTGTGCCCTGAAGGCCTTGCCCAAGGGCACAATGACTGTGACAGATGGAGCTTGAACCTGCAACCCTCTGGTTACCTCTGCTAGCATGACTCAACATGAACGCTGGCTGGATTTCACTTCTTGGTTATGGAGGTTCCTTGGAAACTGCTGCAGGCTGCTGGTGCAAGTCCTGACAGTTAACACTGGCACTGACAGAAACCCTGAAGGCTACGGCGTGTTTTAGAACACGCACACAAAACCTAAAACACAACATAAGTAAACACCAGGCTGAGTTCTGATGGGTTAGGTAATCAATGACACGCCATCAGGTGAGCCATCTGCCTTGGCAGTAGTTGGTCGACGGCAGCAGCCGAGGCGCCAACCCAGGGCGCCCAGGGAGGGAGGGCAGTAACCCCCACCACCGCCTAAGCACACCCCTAGGAGCGCCCAGGCCGCCACAGTCAACCACCACCCCCGAGGCAGAGGGCCCCCACCGAGGAAACACTGGTATGATCAAAATAAGTTAAATGAAAATAAATAATAATAATAATGGCTAATATGGATAGAAAATTTCTAATAAAAACTGATTAAAGAGATTAAAATGAAAATAATTAACCCTTACATAACCCTTTAATTTTCTAACGTTTTTATCCTTTGAGCACAAAAAAGGTCGTATAAGGTTTAAATAAGCAAGTTAATAAAACAGGAAATGCAGCTGAAAGCAGATATCAGCTGAAAGTTAAGTTGAAAAGGTGAGTCTTGAGCCTGCTCTTAAAAACATGAACATCCTCCACGACCCCGAGGTCTTCTGGCCGCCTGTTCCAGAGATGAGGGCCATAATACCGGAAGGACGCCTCGTCGTGGGAATGTGTCCTGACTTTTGGACTCACAAGGAGACGGCTGCCAGAGGAGCACAGAGGGTTCGTAAGGTAAGCAGTTTACCGAATGATGGGAAGGCCCAAGACTATTGAGACACTTGGACTGGACCGGACCTGCATGAGATCAGCTCCTGTGTATCTGCGGGGAGTGTCACTTGTGAAAACCTGGAGATTCTGAGCAGCTGAGGATTCTAAATGGATCTGGATCCAACTGTTGGACTGGGAATACTGGTACTGAACATTCAGAGAGGGAGAACTAAACCAAATCCCCTCAGAAGCTGATTGGGACCCAGTTTCTCCTGATGCTGTGTGGTATCTTTGGGAGTTCTTCTTGTCTTAGCTTTCTCGCAGCTTTCTTCAGGTATCTGTGAAACCTCTACTTTGCTTTTTGTACGCAGGGATGCTCTGATGTGCTTGATTCCACACGACTTAAGAAATGACTCAACAACTGTCCTACAAATTGCTTACCATTATCAGCAACAACCGCCAGGGGGTATCCAAATCTAGCAAAAACCTTACTCTGTTCTGTAACACCAGTGGATGGACTGGGACAAGCAGGGCCAGCTGGCGCTCCACATCAGCTCGTTCTCCACGGGCGGAGATCAGCAGGACATTAGCTATACGCTAACGCAGGAAAACAACTACAACGTTGTCGCTCTACTGCGTTTTTCTTGCTAAAGACGCCCAGAAAAAAACTCAGATAGCTTTGAGTTAGCATGTAGCTAATGTCCAGCTGAGCTGAATGGTCGGCCGAGCGCTGTGCATTCAGCTGTGCTCTCTCTGGCTCTGTGCAGTCACGTGGTTTGTGAAGCGTACGCTAGCTGCACAAGCTAGCTTTTAGTCTAATGAGCTTTGAAAGAAAAGCGTCTGGACTTCTTTGAGTTGCTTGAAGACGTTTCACCTCTCATCCGAGAGGCTTCTTCAGTTCTAAGGTCAAATGGTGGAGAGTCCCACCCAGTGGGAGTTTCCCCCCGAAGAGGGAACAAAAGACCCCCTGATGATCTTCTACATAAACACATGAGCCAAGGTGTGAGGGTGGGTGTGGGTCCTATTCAGCCAGAGTTTCGGGTGACTCTTTAAGTGTTGGATTAAGACTTGTACCGTACCAAATGTCACGTTTTCCATCAAAATGAACAGAAATTAACTTTTAATTTGCAGCCACAAACTGCATCACACATCCAGGGATGCATTACGTCAGTCTGGCCTCCAGGAAAGAAAAACAAAGATATGTGACTTGATGCAACCTGCTGGGTTCCTTATTTAGGAAACTTTTTACTGATTGGCTTAATGACCTGACCTGGATTGGCTTGTTTACTGTGTGCAGGTCCTTGAGACGACTCTTCTTGTAGGTTATATATAAATAAACTTGAATTGCTAAAATCCTCTGTGTAGGGGATTCAACCCAGTGTACCAGAGTGGCCCTCCTCACCATGTCGTGAACATTAATAGTTCCTCTGGCAACCTCGGAAACCAGTAAGAATCCTTCCACAGGTTATGCTCTGTAAGTCTGGAGCTCCGAGGGTCAACAGTGTCAAATTAGCATAGCTGTGTCCAGAGCTGCAGCTGCAACAGCAGCCTGTTTCTGATCATTATTCAACGTAATTAAATGGTCTGTATTTGATATAGAGCCTTCTAGAGTCCTGGAACCCCCCAAAGAACTTTACAACACAGTCATTCACCCATTCACACGCTGGTGGTGATGAGCTAAGACAGCTGCCGTGGGGCGCACTGACAGAGGCGAGGCTGCTGAGCACGAACGCCACCGGTCCCTCCGACCACCACCAGCAGGCAACAGCAACAGACTGAGCGGGGCTCGAACCTGCAACCTTCTGATTACGGGGCCAGCACTTGACTCCTGTGCCACCGTCGCCTCCCATAATTCCCTCACGGTGGGTCCTTCATGCGTCAGGGCTCCTGGCAAACCATTTCTTCATCGCCAAATTTCTTTGGTTCAGTTTGGTCACACGTGTATTTCAGTTCTTGTAGTCGTTTCCTTTTCGCTCTCTTCCTACTCTCGCGACACCTGAGTAACATCAACCCACCTGTGATTGGTGCCTCGGGTCGTGGGTGCTCCTTCCTCCACAGGGGGATGAAGACCGTGATGTCACGCAGTCCTCTGTCCCAGAACCAGTCCACAGCCAGTTGCAGGCCCAGACAGGAAAACACCTTCTTGTCTCCATGGCTATGAGAGACGGTCAGTCAGGAAGCTGCTTTATTTCCTCAAACACACACACACACACCTGTCTTCTGTCATAGTGAGGACCATCCATTGACTTCTGTTCATTTTTGTGACTGTATTAATCCTAATCCTAACCCCAACTAAGACGCATTTCCCACCAAAGCTCTAAAACCAACTGGTAAGCTTTAAAAAAAGTGAGGACCAGGAAAATGTCCTCACTTTGTGGGGAAAATAGTTCAAATGGTCCTCAGTATGCAGTAAGTACAAGAACACACACACACACACACACCAGTCAGACTGGTACTGTTCTGCTGGAGTCGAGAGTACACCGGATCATTACCACCGGACACCGAAACAAGACTGAAACAAATTTTTTAGTTTAATGGTTGCAAAAACGTAACTAAACAGTCGTGAGTGTGTGTGTGTGTGTGTCTGTGTGTGTAGGAGTTCCCCTTTTATCTGAACAGGAAGTACTGATCTGTTTTGCATACAATGGTGTTTTAGCTGGTTTCTGGTTCTGACCCACGTGGCTCTGCTGGTGATCTGATCAGAAGACCTGCAGGTTTGTTGTCTGGCTTTATTTTGTTAAAGCAACATTCTGTAGTGGAGCTCCACCAGAATCTTACACACACACACACACACACACACACACACACACACACACACACACACACGTTGTTTTGGTCTCACCTCATGGCCACATTGCTCCCATCTATGACCACGGTTCTGAAGCCAGTGCTTGACTCCCTGTCTGTCCCAGTTCTGGTTCTGCTGGGTCCAGGGCTAGATCCTCGGGGTACCAGCTTCAGGCTGTTTGGGGCGCTGGTGCTGCAGGTCTTTATCAGCTCCTCCAGTATGTCGTTGGTCTGGGCGTCACGGTGGAGGCTCTCTAGAACCCTCAGGATGTCATTCAGAGCGTATCCTAGCTTGAGGAACCGTTCCACCTTGGAGTTCTGCTGGTACTGGTAGTCCATGGCTGTCAGAGGTTTCTCCGCTCTCAGCCTGATCTGACTCGGGTCTCCTCCTCGTTATTGTGGCTCAGCAGCATCTCCGCGGTAACCAGCCATGTTTTGGAACAGTTCTGTCGGTGTAAACACAGAAAGCACAACTGATTGTGGTCTCAGGCACAGCAGTAGAGTCAACTCTGGCCGCCACAACCTCATGACTTCCTGCAGAAGAGCATCGCCAGCTGACGTCACCCCAGCAGAAAAAAGTCCCTTTCACACCAAAGGAGGAAACCGAAGGTTTGACTCTGATCCTGGTCTGATCACACGCCCTGAGCCACCAACACCAGCAGCCCGACCCTGAACGAATGCCGTCTGGAAACCCCCAGAAGCTCCAGACCAGAGACGCGTCTCACCGATGCTTCACTGGGGGAGTGGGGGGTGACACCTTAGTCATTTCAGTTTTTTTTACATAGCGCCAGGGTCGTCCCAAGAGTTAGGGTTATCGTTGCATCGAGTTCTGTTCAGCGGTGCTAGTTAAATCCAGCAGATCGAGTCACTGACTTGTTTCAGGGACAGGCAGCAATCCCCGTATTACTAAGCATGGATGTAGAACAGAGTGCTGTATTGATCCCACGTTGGGGAGACTCGCTCATTAAGGCAGCACATACACTTAGATCACTGGAAAAACACTCATGCATGCAAATACACAAAGGCTGTGGGCTAGTGTAACCTTCAGCAGTTAAAAAGCAGCAGTAGCTCAGGTGGTAGAGCGGGTTGCCTCATGATCAGAGGGTCGTGGGTTCGATTCCAGCTCCCACCAGGGGATCCTGCTGTTGTGTCCTTGGGCAAGACACTTCACCCAACTTGCCTGTGTTAGTGGTGGTCAGAGGGGCCGACGGCGCCAAATGGCAGCCTCGCCTCTGTCAGACCTCCCCAGGGCGGCTGTGGCTACAAGTAGCTTACCATCACTAGCAGTGTGTGAAAGCATCTTTGGGTGTCTAGAAAAGCGCTCTATAAGTTGAATGCATTATTAAAAATAATAAAATTGAGTTTCCAAGAAGAAACGGTGCTAAGGACACAGACGTAGACAGGTATTTAGCATGTATGAAGAGTGGAGAGGAGGAAGAAACCTCCACAGTACGAGCACCCATCTGTCACCGGGGGGCTGAGAAGACAGACAGTAATAAAACTACTGTTTTATTTTTGATTCAGTAACAATCACAAAGGAATTAAATTGGTCCGAGCCGCCTGCAGATTCTCCACCAGGGGCAGCAGACCTGTGTAAGACTGCATGCAGTAGGTATTGTAGGCTCCATCTGGAGGCTACATTGATGCTGACAGTCTATAAATAATTTAGGAACTTGTTTGTTTTTATTTGAATATATTTCTGTGAGAAAGAAAGCAACTCCAGAAGTTTCACACTTTCCAAAATGCACCAGATTGTTTCTAACAACATTGTCTTGTCGTTGAGGGTTTGGCTCACCTGTTCTTCGAAGGCTCTATCTGAGACCGCAGTCCCACCCAGAACCATCTGAGGTGTGACAAGCTTCAATCATCCCACTTAAACAAAAACAGAGCAGGTCTGGCTTTGGTCTTACGTGTATGATTCCTCTGACTTCTGTCCTGGGCCTCTGTCTCGGACCTCGCCCGTCGGCCCAGCTGAGCGAATCTGATTCCTTTCAGCAGGAAGGACAGAAACTAAACATACCTTCTCATCTGAGCCAGGAAGAAAACAGTCAGTAATCTCTTACTAGTTCCTTGTCAGTTCTCCTCCCCCTTCTTCTCAGCTCTGGGAGCACTTCCTTGTGTGATGTAACACCTGCTGAATGATGAAGTTATGCTCAGATCACTGACTTTCTACGGTCTTGATTGTCAGTTTAACTATTGTTAAAGAGGCATGTGTGATTATGAAGTTCAAAGTTACTGTTTTTTTTTTTTAGCCATGCAAGCCTGTATGGGCCACATGGTAATAAGCCAGTTTTCATTTCTAATTCTATTTTTTTGTTCTGCTTGTTGCGTTAACCACACACCCAAAACATTTAGCCTAGCTTTTCATGGCTGAGCTTTACCCATGGCTTTATTTAACAGGTACGTCCGGATAATTGGAATATTAGTAATGGACTAGAATTGCAGAGCGTTCTTAAATGAACTCAAAGCATTTTGAAGAGAATCCATTATTCATTCACTCACTCATTCACACATTGCTGGAATCACGTAAAAAAAAAGTTTAAAAAAGTTTGTCACTCATTTCATAAACTGCAAACCCACATAATACTCACTACACTCATTCACCTTCTGACTCATACATTCTTCACTAGGGTCCCAGGAACTCCACACAGTCATAGGGAGAACATGCTAACTCCACACAGTCATAGGAAGCAGATGCTAACTCCACACAGTCATAGGAAGCAGATGCTAACTCCACACTGTCATAGGAGAACATGCTAACTCCACACAGTCATAGGGAGAACATGCTAACTCCACACAGTCATAGGGAGAACATGCTAACTCCACACAGTCATAGGGAGAACATGCTAACTCCACACAGTCATAGGAAGCAGATGCTAACTCCACACAGTCATAGGGAGAACATGCTAACTCCGCACAGTCATAGGGAGAACATGCTAACTCCACACAGTCATAGGGAGAACATGCTAACTCCACACAGTCATAGGAAGCAGATGCTAACTCCACACAGTCATAGGAAGCAGATGCTAACTCCACACAGTCATAGGAAGCAGATGCTAACTCCACACAGTCATAGGAAGCAGATGCTAACTCCACACAGTCATAGGGAGAACATGCTAACTCCACACAGTCATAGGAAGCAGATGCTAACTCCACACAGTCATAGGAAGCAGATGCTAACTCCACACAGTCATAGGAAGCAGATGCTAACTCCACACAGTCACAGGGAGAACATGCTAACTCCGCACAGTCATAGGGAGAACATGCTAACTCCACACAGTCATAGGAAGCAGATGCTAACTCCACACAGTCATAGGAAGCAGATGCTAACTCCACACAGTCATAGGAAGCAGATGCTAACTCCACACAGTCATAGGGAGAACATGCTAACTCCACACAGTCATAGGAAGCAGATGCTAACTCCACACAGTCATAGGGAGAACATGCTAACTCCACACAGTCATAGGGAGAACATGCTAACTCCACACAGTCATAGGGAGAACATGCTAACTCCACACAGTCATAGGGAGAACATGCTAACTCCGCACAGTCATAGGGAGAACATGCTAACTTCACACATTAATGAGAACATGCTAACTCCACACATTAATGAAGAGAACATGGTAACTCCACACAGTCATAGGGAGAACATGCTAACTTCACACATTAATGAGAACATGCTAACTCCACACATATATGGGGAGAACATGCTAACTCTGCACAGTCATAGGGAGAACATGCTAACTCCGCACAGTCATAGGGAGAACATGCTAACTCCACACATATATGGGGAGAACATGCTAACTCCACACAGTCATAGGGAGAACATGCTAACTCCACACATATATGGGGAGAACATGCTAACTCCACACAGTCATAGGGAGAACATGCTAACTTCACACATTAATGAGAACATGCTAACTCCACACATATATGGGGAGAACATGCTAACTCTGCACAGTCATAGGGAGAACATGCTAACTCCGCACAGTCATAGGGAGAACATGCTAACTCCACACATATATGGGGAGAACATGCTAACTCCACACAGTCATAGGGAGAACATGCTAACTCCACACAGTCATAGGGAGAACATGCTAACTTCACACATTAATGAGAACATGCTAACTCCACACATTAATGAGGAGAACATACTAACTCCACACATTAATGAGAACATGCTAACTCCACACATTAATGAGAACATGCTAACTCCACACAGTCATAGGGAGAACATGCTAACTTCACACATTAATGAGAACATGCTAACTCCACACAGTCATAGGGAGAACATGCTAACTCCACACATATATGGGGAGAACATGCTAACTCTGCACAGTCATAGGGAGAACATGCTAACTCCACACATATATGGGGAGAACATGCTAACTCCACACAGTCATAGGGAGAACATGCTAACTCCACACATTTATGGGGAGAACATGCTAACTCCGCACAGTCATAGGGAGAACATGCTAACTCCGCACAGTCATAGGGAGAACATGCTAACTCCACACATATATGGGGAGAACATGCTAACTCCGCACAGTCATAGGGAGAACATGCTAACTCCACACATATATGGGGAGAACATGCTAACTCCACACAGTCATAGGGAGAACATGCTAACTCCACACATTTATGGGGAGAACATGCTAACTCCGCACAGTCATAGGGAGAACATGCTAACTCCGCACAGTCATAGGGAGAACATGCTAACTCCACACAGTCATAGGGAGAACATGCTAACTCCACACAGTCATAGGGAGAACATGCTAACTCCACACTGTCATAGGAGAACATGCTAACTCCACACAGTCATAGGGAGAACATGCTAACTCCACACAGTCATAGGGAGAACATGCTACCTCCACACAGTTATAGGGAGAACATGCTATCTCCACACATATATGGGGAGAAGTTCTCCCCATATATGTGTGGAGTTAGCATGTTCTCCACTTGGATGTGTGGATTTAGCACATTTTCCCTACGTATATATATGTATATATATATATGTGTGTGTGTGTATGTATATATATATATATATATATATATATATATATATATATATATATATATATATATATATATATGTGTGTGTGTGTGTGTGTATGTATATAGGTGTATGTATATATGTGTATGTATATATATGTGTATGTATGTATGTATATATATATACACATCCATATAATATATATATATATATATATATATATATATATATATATATATATATATATATATATGTGTGTGTGTGTGTGTGTGTGTATGTATATATGTGTATGTATGTATGTATGTATATATATACACATCCATATTATATATATATATATATATATATATATATATATATATATATTAGATGCTATATTTCTTTTAGATGCTGGGGGAAAATAAACGCCAATGTGGTGTGACGTGATAACGTCCTAAATATGCAAATTAGCATCTGGCGACATCTGGGTCAACTTCGGCTACTTTCTATCTTTGGGACGTTGGCAACACTGGTTAAATTAATCTGGGAGACGGATGGTTGACTCGTTTGAAACTGAGACTGATCTTTTCCTCAGAGAAATGTCAGCATTAAAATTTGGTTTAGTGGATTTCTGGTTTACCTGCAGAATAGAATCTTGCAGGTGTGTATCTGAAAATGTCCCTGTTGTCACGTTAATCACGATATTTTCCTGTGAATAAACTCTGAGTGAGGCAAACAAACACAAGCATTGAGTAATCAGAAATCTAACAGCAGGTTAACACTCCAAATCTTTGGCTCTCACGGTGTTCAGCTGCCCACTTGTCGACAAAAAGAGTCAAAATAAAGCAAAACGTTGGACCCGTCATCTCTGTTTTGGGTCGACTTTACAAGCCCAAACACGCGCAGTCGCAGCTGCAAAAACAAAACCTGCACAAAGTGCGCATGCGCTTGGTACTAACGTTTTCTCGCGAGAAGTGTGGACCAGCATGGCGGTGCTTCTTGAAACGACGCTGGGAGATATTGTTATTGATTTATTCACAGAAGAAAGGCCTAAAAGTAAAGAAACTCTTTACATTTGCATGTAATACCAGTTTATTTCATTAACCAGCTTTTATCAAAGCCGGCTGCTACTTGATTTGTTATGGTGCTGTTAGCTCATGCTAATCAGCGCGACTGTAAAACGTTTATATCTGGGCGCTTAAATGTTTGTATTAAACATTTTATTCACCGGTAACTCTGCTCTTTTTCAGCTTGCCTTAACTTCCTGAAGTTGTGCAAAATAAAGTACTACAACTACTGTCTGATCCACAATGTACAGGTAACTAAACGGTCTAACCTATGACTTCAGTAAAGTTAGCAAGATATTCACAGATTCGACTTTTGTGCCTCAATAACTTCTGAACAGATGGGTGTTTAGAAACATTACACACCTCTTTGGTATGCTGGTAAGGTAGTAAACAAACTACAACGTTGTTTATTTAAAAAAAAACGTTCTCCGTCGTGCTCTGCATTGATCTCTTTGGGCCGACAGAGCAGAGCGGGCGCTCAGGGACCGTCTGCAAATGGTAATAACAGAAACGGTTGATGATAAAATATGAAAAAAGTCCAGTAATACACAATCAATCAATCAAAGCTTTATTTATAAAGCGCCTTCCGCAACCCTGTCAGGAAGCCCAAACTGCAGTGTGACCAAGTTCTACGCTACAACGTGGTTAGGAAACAGCTTCTGGTGTGGCTGTTCTGGTCCATCAACTCTGGATTTATAGATGTCTGCTTAAAAGAAGATGAAAAATAAATATGAAATACTCTAATTTAGCAGAGATTAACAGTAAAGTTACTTTTTTCTAGGGAGTACACCACTATCTGTATCCATCTGTTCAACTATCTAAAGATCTGTATCTGTACTCGGAGTGGGCGTGGTTTTTAAACCATGACCTGTTTAAGTTGTTAATTTAAAAACACTTTAAATAGATTAAACAACCTGTTTAAAATCACTAGAATGCAGGAGATGACATCTCGCTAAACTCTTTCTGTGGGAGAACCCCAGACCAACCAATTACTGGTACTGTCACTGGCAGCAGGTTTACGTGTGTGTGTGTGTGTGTGTGTGTGTGTGTGTGTGTGTGTGTGTGTGTGTGTGTGTGTCCTTTGATCAGGACATTGTTTTGTTTCTTTGTTGGTGAAATTACAGGTGAAAGTCCAAAAATGAGTGGATGGTGCAAAAGTTTCACTGGTCGGGCAGTTTGTAGACAAATGTCATAACCTTTGCATTACATGGCCTTCTCCTACGGTATATTATTATTATTATTTGATGGATGTCTTTTAATGTTTCTTACTTAACAAAGAAAGTGTTTTTATTTCAGAGAGACTTCATTGTGCAGACTGGAGATCCTACTGGAACAGGTCGTGGAGGAGAATCTATTTACTGGTCAGTCATCACAGCTTGTGCTTGTCTTCACTCAAATCCGAGAGAATAATTTAACCTCTCACATCTGTGTCTTTAGTAAACTGTATGGAGACCAGGCCCGCTTTTTTGATGTAGAGAAGGCACCCCGCATCAAACACAGGAAGAAAGGGACGGTGTCCATGGTGAACAATGGAAATGAGCAACATGGCTCTCAGGTGAACCAGAGGGATGTTCTCAGTGTGGCTGGAAACAGACACATTAGGGAAAGCAGAAAAAATGTCCATTTCCACCGCTGGGTTTTTATGAAAATCCAATATTTTAAATAGAGCACCACAAAAAGAGTCTGTTTCTGGTCTGAGTGCTACCCAGCTTCCGTATTACAAGGTCCTCCCCCCAGAAAGCTGGTGTTAACAACCCACAGCTCCAGGTTTTTTGTGTTAGCATAATGGCACATGACATGAGTCGCATCTTCTGAAACCTCTGCTAGTCAGTGTTTTTTCTCTGATTATGACATGGAGAGCAAATGTTTGATAGCCGGAGAGGTGCAGCCAGTTCAACAGACATCGTTGACTCCACCCACAAGCCAGTTGTGCAAAGGTGCAGGCATGTTCAAGATTTTTCATCACAAGCCGACCCACAGCACCAGACCTAGCACCCTCAGTAGCATCCGGCTGTGCCGGTACGTTTCCATAATCTACAGAAAATGATAACAATGTTGTTGTTGCTGCCGATTTTACACGTACATATAACACCGGACCGTTAACGTACCAGAATCACTTCTCCTTTCCTGATTAGAGTGCTGCTGCTGTCATGCTAGCTGGCTCGGCTTGTTGGAGGGTACCAAGTCCTGGCGGTCCCAGAAAAAGAACTTGTTGAAATATGTGGATCGTTTTGTGAACCCTTTCGGTTTATTTTTTCCGTTAAATAATGAATTTTTCACACATTTGCGTGATTTAAGTGCAGCAGATAAAAGTTCCTCGGCGAGTTTCCGCACGGACGCTGTATTGAGTGACGCATGATGGCTGCACACGCCCGGTCTCCGTTTAAAAAAATGGCATCTGCACATTCTGATCAACGTCTTTCAGAGCGGATCAAACCAGCTGGCTGTCGCTGCTAATGTGGAGTCTGTAGAGACTCTGAGCATCGTGTCGCCTCTCTCACACTGAGCAGGCCCGCTGTGGCAAACATGTAAACAAACATGTCTGCTGAACTTTTCCGCTGTGACAACTGATGTAAAGTTTTCATCCTACAACGAGAAACACGGCGCGGACGACGCTCGTTATTTAATACGAGTTTTAAAGAAGAAACTCTGGGCGGCTGTGGGCAAACACAACACTCGTCTGTATGAGAGTGAGCTGCGCAAATCATAGACATGGACACGTAGACGCCCCATTG